CAGTTTTACAACTTTAAATTTTGTGCTTTATGTGATAGATATTTGTATCTATAAACAGACTTATGCATACATAGCCACATATACCATTTGTACATTTTTAGTAACAGTTTGTCTTCTGTTGCTAGGCTTTCAAATCTTCCTGCCTGTGTACCAGCCATCTTAGACCAGCAAATCTTGAGTTCTGATTCATAACTTAATAATTTTCTCAATTAAAGTACCATGGAAACACACAGTGTACCTCTCTTGCATGTTTGAGGCCTAGTGAACTGCTGTTTTCCATGCTGCAGGTGAGCTTGGAGCTCTCTGTGAAATAACATGATACTCTGTTGTCAAAGTGTCATTGCCCTGGCGAATACAGCAGTCCCTCAACAAACTGCTATTTTCTTTAAAGTATTTATTTTCTAGAAATATAATAGCCTACTACTGAACATCCGATCTATCTCTTACAAATATTTAGTCTATTATTCCCAATATATTATCAAGCTATTAAATGATTTGGATGCCTCATACCAAAAGACACAAACTGCCATGTTTTGTATTTAATCAACAGATACCAAGAACTAGTCAAAGTCTTATCTGGTAGAACAAATTTAGCCCTGTCTAAGGTGGAGAAAAAAAAAAAGGTTTCTTCTTTTTAATGTTTCTGGAATAGTCCATATTTCAGTAGGTTTACAAAACACAGAGGCCTGAAAACAGCTGTTCCTTTTTTCCCCCACAGAAAAATCTAAAATTAGTAAATTATTTTCAGAAATACCTCCCAAGTCTATGATGAGGGTATAAATGTGAACTTATCAAATGGAAATTATCTGATAGATACACTAGGAAAATGTAGATAATCATTTGTATTCTGTGAATAAATACTTTTAACAAATAGTCCCATGGCACTTGTCATTTCAAACTATTTTAGTTTCATCTTGTAATGTCAACCTAACAGATTCAGGACTCCTCAACTTACATAATTTGCTTTCTTAAAGTGAAAGCAAGCGCTTTTACGACAGAAAATCCCACTTTGCAGAGCACGGTGAGATGTTGGTTCTGTTCATGTCAATTAATTAATCCTGACAGCTTACTGGATGGTTTGTTCAGCCATTTGGAGCTATTGTTTCCATGTATACATCCTGTCAGTGTTATTTTTCCTGCTATAACTAATAGAGATCCTTAGGAAAGAATTTTAGACAAGGGAAATAATTGTTTCAAATAATTCAACGTTTCAAGTCTGTAACCTAGGCAGCCAGGCGATTTGTTTGGTTAGAATAGTTTCTGAATAAAGTTTTAGTTTTGTGGTTTTGTTTTTTTGTTGTTGTTTATTTTGTTTTGTTTTGTTTTGAAACGCTAAGTGTGTTCACTCTTCCAATATAAAACTTAGGAAGTTCTTTATGGTTCTCTTCTGCCTTGGCCACTAGGATGCTCCAGACTAAATTAACAGCCCATTCACAGTTACCTCTCTCCTGCTCAGGCTTAAGTAGTCCCTTCTTATTTTCATAGCCTTTCAGTTCATGTTTATTTTATTATTCCACTGAATTTAAACTCTGTGTTTATGGGACAAACCAGGGTTCATTACTTTTAATGAGAAATTCATTCCAAACCACCTATTATGCACCGACTATATGCCTGGCATCATTTAAGAGGATGGGGATGTAGTTAAGAATCCTTTTCATGAGAGAAGCAAATATATTTCCCAGTGTCTACAAAAAAGGGGAGGGGAAGACCTGCCATGCCAGCATCAAGGATGTAGAAATTTTAAAACATTCCTTTACACAAAAACCTGTCAACATCTATTTGGCCCCCTGGAAGAATGCAGTTAAACACACAGTGAGTGCTGACGTCTTCTGACCATTGCTTACTTGGGTATGGAAAACTGCTTCCTTGCTGTAGTACAACCCTCTTCTCAAGGGTCCTACCATAAAAGCCATCTTTATCCCTGGGCCTGTGCTGAATCCTCATAACACTAAAGTCTCATGAAGAAAAAGCTTTTAAGTAGATTGCCCCTTTGTGGCATAGATCAGTCTAAACAACACAACTTCCAGGAAAGGGGGTTTAGGATCTTAGATTTCCTTCCTTGGTGTTTCTAATGTGACAAGCAATAGCACCTAGAAGAGCTGGCCATGAATGCCCTCTGCACTGTGCTGCAGCTAACCTGGCAAGAAGGCTTGCTACAGCTAAAAGGAAGCATTGTTACAGACATGATTTCAAGGTTGGTGGGCCTAGACTTTCCCTTGCTTTCAGCTTTGTGTTGTTTTACTGGCTTGCATATTTGTGTCACACAGTGACCCTAGACTGGCCTGCTTGCTGCCTGCCTGATGTTGAAAAGGTATTGAAATTTACAAGGATCTTGCCCTTGGCCTCTACTCCCAGGGCACAGCATTCTCACACATTTTAAGGTAGTGCCTGCTCACAATAGCCCTGTAGTCAGGCAAGACAGCTCAACAAGGCTGCCTACAGATCAGCACGTGCTTATCACCTGCTTGGCAATTGCAAATAAAATAGCACTGTTTGCCCTCCCCCTGGTGGGGGGAAAAGAGCCTTCTCTGTGCTTATATTTCAAATAGGGGAAACACTGGACTTCCCAGTTTGAACTGTCTGCATTTAGACTTCTCAGACTAACATAAAGTCTCTAAACAACAGAATTGCCCTTGCTTCACAGGGAAAGTAAGTTAAATATTTTTTATCATTTATCATGCCTTGCAGACTCTGAGACAAGCAAACACTCCAGTGATTTGTGTGTGTGTGTGTGTGTGTGTGTGTGTGTGTGTTTGGGGGGGGGGTTTAAGCCTCATCTCAATGCAAATAAAGAAATGTCACAACTCATGTTGAAAACATCACAGGACTCCTATGAAAGCAAAAGGCAGCCCATATAAATATATTTCTTGGG